ATATACATCAATCAGGCATAACATTATCACCATTTTTATGTCCTTGTTTCTGCGCTCATTGTCCATTTTATCAGCTCCACTTACTATATAGGTGCACTTTGTAGTTCTACAGTTACAGACTGTAGTCCATCTGTTTCTCTGCATACTTTGTTAGCCCCCTTTTGCCCTGTTCTTCAGTGGTCAAGACCCCCTTGGACCCTCACAGAGCAGGTACTATTTGGGTGGTGGATCATTCTCAGCACTGCAATAACACTGACGTGGTGGTGGTGTGTTAGTGTGTGTTGTGCTGGTATGAGTGGATCAGACACAGAAGTGCTGCTGGAGTTTTTAAACACTGTGTCCACTCACTGTCCACTCTATTAGACACTCCTACCTTGTCAGTCCACCTTGTAGATGTAAAGTCAGAGACGATAGCTCATCTGCTGCTGCACAGTTTGTGTTGGTCATCCTCTAGTCCTTCATCAGTGGTCACAGGACGCTGCCCACAGGACGCTGTTGGCTGAATATTTTTGGTTGGTGGACTATTCTCAGTCCAGCAGTGACACTGAGGTGTTTAAAAACTCCAGCAGCACTGCTGTGTCTGATCCACTCAGACCAGCACAACACACACTAACACACCACCACCACGTCAGTGTTACTGCAGTGCTGAGAATGATCCACCACCCAAATAGTGCCTGCTCTGTGAGGGTCCATGGGGGTCCTGACCACTGAAGAACAGGGTAAAAGGGGGCTAACAAAGTATCAGAGAAACAGATGGACTACAGTCTGTAATTGTAGAACTACAAAGTGCACCTATATAGTAAGTGGAGCTGATAAAATGGACAATGAGTGTAGAAACAAGGAGGTGGTCATAATGGGTCAAACTGAGTAATTACACTTGGGTTTCTTTGAGGTTGTGAGGTGATGAATCTTGAGTTGCTTACTTTTCACTACTAAGGATACATTGGCTCTGTCATACCACTGTGGGCTCTCAACATTGCACATATATTCCCCATTATCTGCCAGTGTCAGGTTCTCCAGTTTCAGAGAGACGTTCCCTTTCTCCAGTTCTCCAATCAGATACACTCTGCCTCTGTACTGAGGATCTCCAGCGTTCTCCTGGACTTTGAGGTTCTGGTACAGCAGTATGGGTTTGTTGTAGTCTTTATTTCTGTACCAGCGAAATTCAAACGTTTTAGCATTATAGGAGGGAGAAAGTCCACAAGGCAGGATGACTGAAGATCCTGATAGAGCTGACACTGAATTAGGAACCAGCACTGAAAATGTCACTGAAAGAGAGAAATATAGCTTTGAAGTTCAGTTCAAAAATCATTTCCAGAATGTAGCAGGAAAAAGGATTCAGAACTAGAGCAGAAGACATGATTACCAGCTCTTGAAAGGCAGAGGAGAGTGGACATCCACAAAAGCACTATAGCTGTCGACGATAATGCAATGAGAAGGTAGCGTTTATAATATTTTGGATAAGTAAGTCATCTTTATGTGTGCAAAATGATGAAGATCAAATGTCTATATGTGTAAATATGATATAAACACATATTTTCATGGGATACTTTCACAGCATTGTACCCATTGAACCCCAACACTGATCATTTTGATGTTTAGGAATTTGATATGTATTAGCTATTTATTAGACATGTATTACGACTGAATGCAGCACAGAAATCTGTAGCTAATACAGATTACTATTATGTGTCATTGCATATGACATGGCAAAAAACAGCAAATGACCAGGGTCATTTCTACAGTACACACTGCAGACGTTCATATAATGACAGGAATTCAAGTTTACTGTTGCTTGTACTATATTTGTAAACAGGAAGACGTGCCTTTACATAAATGACTGTAAAAATTCTAGACAAAAAGTACAGCGATGTCTTTAAAACTTACCTTTTTTAGTGATCATCTGTGTAAACATATATTAAAAAACCTAGATAAAATACCAAAGGAGGCAAAGTTTAACACTTACTACTCATAGGAACAGAACAGTATCGAGGAAAGGCAAAGAAAAAAAAAGCAAAACCAAAGCTGTACATGATACTTTGTTACATATTAACCTGTTAATTTCATGGTTCAGGTTTTGGGAGTGGTTACACATCAGTGACCCTTAGTTACCGTCTCAAAGGGTAGAATGAAGTCGACATAGATACAGTTAAATATTAACATCAAAACAAAACATATAAAGGTCATGCAGGGCTGTCTTATTCCTGGGTAGACGGTTTCTGGAGTGGAATCATCTACGAACAACCACAGCCCAGCTGTGAAGCAGCAGATCACACAAGCTGACTGCTAAAGCTTTGGGGTGTAAAAGTCACCTGTCGCTGGTTGCAGCACTCAGTGCTGAGTTCTGCACTGACTCTGGAAGCCGCAGATTAGCGCAGTGTCTTTTAATGCTGTGGTATTTTCACCTGTGTCGTTGGCAAGAGTCAATAAAGATGAACATGGAAATGAGCTCATACATATTAATGACATCTTAATTGAAGGAATTATATTTCAGCATGTAAGATTCATTTCCTAATTAAACAATTCAATAATAATAATAATAATAATAATATTTCACATCTTTTGCCAGTTCATTATAATTACAGTACTATTTTTTTTTACCAACATGAAGTTTAAATTTTTATTCCAATTAAAAACTAAATAAGCATGCTGAAATTCTAAATACTCTATGCATTAATTTTAACTAGTAAATATTTCATTGTAGATGTCAGGAATTTGATTTGATTTGAAAATTCAATATTAAATATTGAATATCAGTTTGGTAAAAAATATTTTTTATTAGTAAAATGTATTTTTTATTGTGAATATTTTTGTAAAATCTATTATAAACTGATAAATATTATTAAAAGTCAAACCTCCTGGCTGTAAAATCTATTTGAACATGTAATTAAAATCTCAGTATGTCAAATTACTCTTCACTTATTTTGGATTATAATCTAAACCCACTTTCTTCACACAGGTGGGATTCATCAAATATGGAACCTGATGCAGGAATAGGATGTTTTGAGTTCAGTGCAATTAAATCTGTCCGTCTAAAATCTGCTCAGGTAAATATTTTTTCTCCTTGGTTCTCCTACAACTGCAGTAAGAAGTTCCATCTGAACAGATCAAAACGTGTCTTTTAAATATGCTAATCACTCTTACCGTCACTGGAAATCTGTTGCTGCGCTTTATGAATCTGGCCCATAGTTTGGCAAGAGTGGTGTGGAAGAATGTGACTGACCTGCGCAGAGCTATTCCCTCAACTCCAAAACTTCTGTTTTTGTGGTTTTTTTTTTCCCTGCTAATTTTCTACTTATTTGTACTTTTCAGGACATGTGCCCAATGCTTGTGCAAAGGCCCTGATTGAATTTCCCACTTTTCTCAGCTTCAAAATGGCCTCCTTTTCTCCATAGACGGCTCTCTGGTCTTAATGTTGGCTTATCCTTTTTAACCCTCTATTGCACGATGTTGCCTCAGGGCAACAAACTCATTTTCCTCAGTTTACGAAAACATTATACATATTTAAAGACAACGATGGGGTTAACAATAAAGGGCGGAGTATGAGTAAGTCAATAAAAAGCATGTAGTTGATGATAGACATATTTTGCGGAAATATGTTTGTTGCCTAGAAGCAACACTGTGCGACAGTGGAATGGATTTAGCCAGTCACAAGCCACCACCTCAGGGAACACGACTCCTGCACACATTTTTTTATTTTAATAATTGGGTGCGAAAAAATAAATCAAGGACAATTTTATGCAAGAAAAGTGAATTATATCTATTTTTTAAACTGCTCCCATAATGTGTGCAGTAGAGGGTTAACAACAAATGCAGTCTTTACAAACCCAGGGCTCAAACCAGAAGCAGACATTCAGAGCTATTGAGTGTTTAAACAGTAAATCTAACAGGGCACAATCTAAATGGGCAACAAGAAACACCTGTCAGTCACATGTTCCAGTATTCTTGCTCAAATGGGTTCTAACAAAAAATAATGCATCTATATGTAAATATCAGGACGTAAAAGCTGAAATTCTGATCTATCGTGTCGTATTCGTCTTTTGATCTCAAACCCAAATGTTTTCAGTGTTCAGCAAAAACAAATAAAATGGCTTTGCTGTTCCAGTACTTTCACAGGAGACTTTTGTTATATGTAGTCGTTTCTTCTGCCTGTATCTTAGAAAGGTTTAAGCTGGCTGAAAGAACATGAGAACACAAATTAAGTGCTCCTCTAATGCTGTGAATGTGTACACACCTTTTAATAAAATATTTCTCAAAACAGAAACGACAATAGTCAGTTCAGTAATAACTACTGCAAACTCGTTTTAGTTTCAGAATCTCTCTCAGCACTTAGCAAAGTGAGGAAGCGAATGACCTTGAACTGACAATCTTTTTTTTGTTTTTTCAAAGGTTAATTTATTGAGCAGCTGGTTCTAAATCATTTATGAAATTAAAGATGCTCTTTCTTCAGA